AGTCCTGCTCTGATGGCTACATACTATAGAAAAGTATTGAAATATTGTACTGTACCCCATAATAGATTTAGGTGTATCAACTATCAGTCCTGCTCTGATGGCTACATACTATAGAAAAGTATTGAAATATTGTATTGTACCCCATAAATAGATTTAGGTGGAAAAGTATTGAAATATTGTACTGTACCCCATAATAGATTTAGGTGTATCAACTATTTTATTATTATTATTATTATTATTATTATTATTATTATTATTTTGTTTTACCGGCCTTTCTTTTTTGGTTTTGTTATTGTTTTTAAAGCGTTGCTTCCCAAATTTTATTCTTTTAAAAAGAATTTTATACATGAATACTGTATCCATGCTATTTCCACCCTCCCTCCGTGTGTGTGTGTGTGTGTGTGTGTGTGTGTGTGTGTGTGTGTAAGCAAGCATGCACCAAAAAAAGGACATCAGTTATAGGAGGTTGTAAGTCACCAAAAAGGGTGCTGGGAACAAATTTGGTCTCTATAGAAGAGTAGCCAGTGCTCTTAACTGCTGAACCATCTCTCCAGCTCAGGGACTTAGTACAGCTCAGGCCTGTGTAGTTCTGTGTAGTTCAAATTCACTATGTAGTTAAACTTGACCTTAGACTCCTGATTCTCCTGCCTCTCTCCCCAGTTTATGAGGCACTGGGGATGGAACCTGGGGTTTTATGCATGCTAGACAAGCACTCTACCAACTGAGACAGATCCTCAACCCTAATCTTTCTTAAATTTAGAAACAAATGCCTGCATCTCTCTCTCTCTCTCTCTCTCTCTCTCTCTCTCTCTCTCTCTCTCCATTCTCATGAGTAGTGGGTATCTCATAATAGTTCTGAATTGTCTTTCCTTCCCTAATGACAAATGAACTTGAACACCTTCTCATACTGAACATCTTGGGGAATTGTTCAACCCCTTGGCCATTTAAAATTGAGATGTATTTTACTAATTTGCTTTCTTCAAGTAAGAAATCAAAGTGTTTTGATTATGTAATCCATATACATATATGAGAAGGAGAGGGGGCTAAGGCTCCAGTCATTTTTAAGAGAATTATGTCAGGTATTTATGAATAGGACAATGGTTTGCACACTCCCAGTGAATAGTATTAAAACTGGAAGTGGGGACTAAACTGTTAAAAAAAACAAACAAACAAATAATGAAAATGAGTTTCTTGGTAATCAGTTTATTTCTCTAGTTTCCCTTTTGCATATTGCCTCCTCGATGCACATTTTGACCTTTAGCCCTTCCGTTATCAATAAATAATGCACCTTTGTGTTCTTTAGAACAAGAGTTCTATAGATCATTTCTAGTTGTAAGATAGGAAAATTTTATGTGTCTTTGTTTGCTTTTAGTGTTAATTTGTAAGTTGATTTTATTGAAACCAGAGAAGAGATTATCCCCAATGTTTATTATTTCAGATTGGGGTAACCCCAGTTGTCCTGGAACTCACTCTATAGACCAGGCTGGCCTTGAACGCAGAGATTTGCCTGCTTTTGCCTCCCAAGTGATGGGATTAAGGTGTGCCACCACTGCCCAGCTTTTCACTTCAGATTTATTGAGGTTTGGTTTGTATGGGTAAAATGGGGGCTGGGGAAACAGCTGAAGGACTAAGAGCGCTTGCAGTGAAAGGGTGAGGACCCAAGTTCAAATCCCTAGAACCCACATAAAAAGCTGAGTGTGACTACATGTTCATACCCACAATGCACCTGTAACTCCCGTACTGTGGAAACTGAGACAGGAGGCTCTCTACGGCTTGCTGGTTTGCTAGCCTTGCTCCAGGTGCAGTGAGAGACTCTAACTCAAGAGAATGAGGCAAAAGTGATGGAGCAGGACAACTGATATGCTCCTCTGACCAACATCTGCCACACATACACACGTGTCACTTTGTGAATGCTAAGAGAAAATGCTTTCAAAGTGTCCCTGTGAATTTCACTTCAGTAAAAGAAGTAACATGTGCATTCAATTTTTTGTTTAGCTTTGTTTTTCGAGACAGGGTTTCTCTGTGTAAACTATTTCTAGCTGTCCTGGAACTGACTTTGTGGACCAGGCTAGCGTTCAACTCGAAGAGATCTGCCTTGTGAATGCTGGAATTAAAGGCACATGCCACCCATCACCCAGCTGCATTCAGTTTTTAAAAAATGAGATGTCTTTTAATTGCTAGTCATAAAGCCACACTGGATACTGGACATGTGTGGTGGTGCATGCTTTTAATTCTAGCACTGGAGAGGCAGAGGGAGTGAGGGAGGTCTCTGTGAGTTCAAAATATAGTGGCCTGGTCTATATAGTGAGTTCCAAATCAGCCAGGGCAACATAGTGAGATCCCCACCACCCCCCCATCTCAAGAAAGAAAAAAGGAAAAAAATTTTAAAAAGTTACTGGACTGTTATTGGATAGCTAAAGACAATTCTTCCATTCCACAAGTTGGGTTATTATTATTTTTTTGATAGTATTCATTAAAGCACCAGGCTGACCTTGAACTTATAGAGATCTGCCCACCTCTGCCTCCCAAGTGCTGGGACTACAGGTGTTTGCCACCACTGCCCAGGATTCAGTCTGCTTTTGTATATACCCAGGCTAAAGCACAAGTTTTTAAGAATGTGAAGTCTGGCTTGTCTCATCTCCTTTTCAGCTTTTGCTGTTGGTGAAAAGTTTCTGTACTCTGTAAGCCTCTCCGCCAATACAGCAATCCAAATTAGACCAAATCAAACCGAATTTAAAAGCCCATTTTTAATGGATAAAACACTCCCAGATGGCCTTTCAGCCCCCCAGAGTGACCAGATAGCTGCCTGTTTATTTTCTGGGGGGCAGTTTAAATACCCTGTGGGAGTGGTCTTGAGCATCTCTGGGGCACGGGTCATCATTTGGTGGGTTTTCTGAGATGTAGCAGGGTTTGGAGGGAGATAGAGGAGGGGGCTTGGGTGGAACTTCCACTATAACAGTTGGTATCATTTGGAGGCTGCAAAGGTTGACTCTTACATTGTATGGTTTAGTTCCGGCAGCCAGGCGTTGATGTCTTTAAGTAGTGAACCATCTCCCCTGTTTCCCTTGTTGCTATTCAGTTGTCCCAGCACCTTCTGAGATGAGAAGATAACTTTCCCTCACAGAAGCAGCTTGGTGTTTTTACCCCAAATCAGCTGCCTGTGTGTTTAAAGGTTTATGTCTGGACTCGCCATTCTATTCTGTTGGTCTACACGGTTACCCTTATGCAAAATCCACAGTCATTTGTAAAAACATTTCCCCATTGCTGGAATAAATGCTGGGCTTCTACAAGCTGCACAAGTGCTCTGTTACCGAGCTCTGCCCCGAGCCTGTTTATATTTTATTATTTTTCTGAGATAGGGCTCTCCCTGTGCTGCATATGCTGGCCTTGAATTCCTGCTGGGTCCACAGGGACATCGTGCCCAGTTATAATCAGCCGTTCTTTCTGAAGATTTGCTTCACATTTTAAAATCAGAGTCCATGAGTTCTTTCTTCTGCTTTGTCCTTCGAAATCAGAATACATGAGTTATTCCGCGTTGTCCTTCATCTGGATTGCTTTGTCACTATATTTTATTTATTTAATTATATATTTTATTTATTTTAACAACCCAACCACTGTTTTCCTTCCTTCCTCTCCTCCCAGCCCCTCTCCCCAGCTCCTCTCTTCCCCTCCCCCATCCAGAACCCAACCACTGTTTTCCTTCCTTCCTCTCCTCCCAGCCCCTCTCCCCATTTTCTCTCTTCCCCTCCCCCATCCACTCCCCTGCTTCTATTCAGAGGAGGGCAGGCCTCCCATGGATAACCTCCAAACATGGCATATCATGGCTGGACAAGCCAACCCCGTATGAATGACAATGGTCCCAAAAGCTGGCAAAAGAGTCAGAGACAGCCCCTGCTCCCACTGTTAGGAGAAGACCAAGCTATACGACTGTAATATATATTCGGGGGTGGGGAGGGGTGGGGGGCGTCTAGGTCAGACCCATGCAGGCTCCCTGGTTGTCAGTTCAGTCTCTGTGAGTCCCCGTGAGCCCAGGTTTCATCAATATATTTTAAGTGTTTGTGGCCCGTTCTGGCCTCTTAAGAGAATGAAATCCTTAAAAGAACCCAGGTATTGGGGTGTAGCTCAACAGCAGGCCACTTGCCCAGCATGGGAGGCCGGGAGTAAAAGCATCTGCTCAGACTCTAGTCACCATCTGTCGGGATGAAGGACGAGCACGGAAGTGGTGCTATCCAAACCTTTTAGGAAAGGCGATGAGGAAAGTGGAGTGCGAGAGATGGCTCAGCAGTTAAGTGCACTTCCTGCTTTTCCAGAGGACCGGATGCACACTTCTCAGAAACCACACAGAGGCCACAGCTACTTATACCTCTATCTAGTTCTGGGGGATCTGATGTCCTCTTCTGACCTCCGACGGCACCAGGCACGTGTGCAGTACATATCCATACATGTAGGCAACCGTTCTTGTACACAAAATAAAAATTAATCTATTTTAAGGGAAGGCAGATGCGGTGATTAGTTTTTCACCACTATGACCAGATACCTGACTGAAAGCAACTAAGAGGAGGAAGAATTTATTTTGGCCCTTAGTTTGTGGGATCCGTCATGGGAGGGAAGACGGGGACAGGAGTGCGAGGAGGCCGATTGCATTGGTGGTCGGGGAGCAGAGGGAGGGAGAGATGGCTGCTGGTGCTTAGCTGGCTTCCTCCTTGGCCCTTCTGGGCCCCCAGCCCACAGGGTGCTGCTACTCTCGCTTAGAGTACTTGTTCCCTCCCGGGTCACACCTCTCTATAAATACCTTTCGAGGACATAGCCACAGATGTGTCTCCCGGTTGACTCCACATCCAGTCAGGTTGACAAGGAACCCATCACAGTATCTGTGAAAATCAGGTAGGGTTGCTGAGAATGGCAGGTGTTTGCTTTTCAGGGTGAGACTATGAGGTGATGGAAGATATCCGGTGTTCCAAGAGGCTCTGAGCGGCGAACCTGGAGATGGGGCTGGAGGCATGAACTTCCCATGTGCCAGGACGAAGGGAAGTTCAGAAGACACCCTACTAGCCAAAGCAGCTTAAAAAAAAATCTAACCTACAAAGGGCTGAGATGGTTGCCTAGCACACTCAGGGCCCTGGGTTTGATTCCCCAGCCCTATGGAAACAAGAGAGAGAGAGAGAGAGAGAGAGAGAGAGAGAGAGAGAGATTATCCTAATGCAAAATAAAAATCTCCCAAGATGCAGCTGCCAAGCCAGGCTGAGAATCAAGGCCAAGGGCGGCCACGTTCTGTGTCTTCTCAAAGGCTTCCCTGTGCTCATAGCTGGGGTGAGCACGCCGCAGGTCCCATCTGAAGGGGCTTCCCTTCCCCTCTTTCAAAATCCTAGCCACTCAGCCCAGTGTCTGCGTAATCAGAGCTCAGAATCCCTGCTCCATTCCCGGCAGATGGCAAGTTCTCCCACCCCACTGTCATGTGATACTCTGGGCAGTACCCTTAAAACATCCTATGAGGTCAACACTCAGCAATCGTCCCCAGAAGGTGGCCTGCATGTATCCAGCTCCTGCTGGGTTCCAGAAAAATTCTTGGGAGCTATGATTCCTGCCCACAAAACTGAGAATTCATTTCCCCTTTTACAGGAAAACCGTCTGCTCTTAGTCAAGAGCAGAATGGTCTCCCCGAGTTGAGTAATCAACTTGAAAGCTGCACTCAGCTGGCTGTGTTTCACTGCTGCGGTGGCGTTTAGGGGTGAGCAGTACACTGATTCACTTCCTGGAGCCCTGAAAAGTGTAACCATCACTCACCTAGTCATTCTGTGTCCTCAGGCTGGGAGAGTGACTGGGCAGCAAACTCAGGAGAATGGCAGGTTGCTTAAAAGAAGGTTCTAGAATCACATAGAGAGGAAATAGTCAATGGCCCAGTGAGTGACAGGCAGGGCAGCAGAGCTCACCATCACAGATAAATTGTTCTGCCTTCATCCCTGCTGCCCTACAGTAGGGAAAGGCGCTCACAAGCTCTGCAGTGAAGGCCATGCAACCCTGGAGGGTAACAAATCCAAGGTGTAATTAGAAAGGAACCAGTTCTTTGACTGTACATATGCTTACCCATCAGCCACCTGGCAAACACCTGCCAAGAACCTACCAAGGCTCCAGAGGCTGGGACCTCTGTTAGGTGGCACCATGGCCTCCCAGAGACAATAAGTGAAGGCATGTCTGTGGGTGCTCAGGGTGACAGGAACAAGCCTTCCAAGAGTCTAGAATAATAGAGTTGTTTAGCCCAGGTATGCTGGCTCCCAGTCTCAAAAGTCTGTGGCAGGAGGATCATGAAGTCAAGACTAGCCTGTGATCCACAGCGAGACCTTTTCTCAAAAAGGCAAAGAGTGGGCTGGAGATACGGCTCAGTTGGTATGCATTTGGTGTGAAAGGATGAGAACCTGAGTTCGAGCCCCAGAATTTGTGGAAGAATTCAAAACTTCCAGACACGGTGATGAGAATGTGTTTAGAATCCCAGCTCGGGGGAGGAAGAAACCGGCAGGCTTTATATGGCTTCCTGGCTACCCAGCTTAATGGATTCAGCAAATCCCCATTCAGTGAGAGACTTTGTCTCAAAAAATAAGGCAGACACTATCCTGAAGAATGACCCTGAGGTTGATATCTATTCTACACACGCGCTCGAGCACACACACACACACACACAGACATGAACGCACACATGCATGCACACACACAGACACAGACACACAGAGACACATACCCACAGAACTCAAAGGAGAGAGGAGAAAGAAATTTTCCAGTGCCAATCTCTTGATCAGGTCAAGAGATTGTGTGGAAAGAGTGAAGAGACATTTTAAAAAATCCTTGGCCACACCAAGACTGATTCTGGCTACACTCAGCAACGACCTGGTGTTGTGTTGAGGAGCATGGCTTCTGATGAATAGCTTTTCATATCAGAGGAGCTCTATAAATATCTGCTGCTGCATTCTTATTCCAAAGAATGACTTCAACGGGGGCCAGGAGCAGGGAAAAAAGCATCAAAGCTTGGTAAGCAGAGGAGAGTTCAGGCTCTCCTCCTGGCTGGCTGCACAAACCCGCTTCAGGGTGGCTCAGGGAGAGGCAGGAGCTCCCGGGGACCCACCCCAGTGAGAGGCCAGCAAGGCTGATACCATCTACAGTGTGAGGTGTTTTTTATGTGGAGACTTGGCACACTTTTAAGACACGATAGGGAAATAGGATGCAAAAGCCTCTATGGGGGTAAAGGAACAGAAGAGAGAGGTTGTTTTTCAAAATGGATTCTCTGTGTGAGATGTAAGTGTGTGTGTGTGTGTGTGTGTGTGTGTGTGTGTGTCTGTGTACTGTGCACACACATGGAGGCCAAACATGCATGGCAGTTGCCTTTCTGGATGATTCTCCACTTTTTAAAAATTATGTTACACATGACTAAAGGAATTCAGAGTCAGAGCCCCTCAGGCTAGAGTTTCAGATGGTTGTGAATTACCCAACCTGGATGCAGTGAAACTCACTGATTGGCTAGTCCAGTGCTGGGATGATAGGCACATGGCCACTCTGGATTTTCACATGGGTCCTATGTGGCAAACACTTCAATGACTGAGACATCTCTCAAAACCTGAACTAAATCTTTAATTTTTTCTCTTTTACTCAAGATACTTTATTGAATTTTTTCATATATTTTACATACCAACCACAGTTTCCCATCACCTCCCCTCCCCTCGCCTCCCGTCTATCCCTCCCATCCACTTATCCTCTGTTCAGAAAGGGACAGGCCTCCCATGAGAGTCAACAAAGCATGCCATATCACATTAAAGCAGGACCAAGCTATCTATCTATCTATCTATCTATCTATCTATCTATCTATCTATCTATCCATCCATCCATCCATCTATCTATCCATCCACCCCCAACTCAGGTTTTCTCTGTGTGGCCCTGACTGTCCTGGAACTCAGAGATCTGCCTTCCTCTGCTTCCCCAAGTGCTGGGAGTTGAAGACGTGTGCCACCACCGTCCAGTTTAGACTTACTTTTTAAGACATTTATTTGTTTACTGGGGGAAGGGCACATATATGCCACAGTGTGTATGTGGAGGTCATAGGACAACTTTTGGGAGCCATCTCGCCTTCACTGTGTGGGTCCTAGGGATTAAACTCACGGCACGAAGTTCCTGTATCCTCTGAGCCATCTCACTAGCCCAGGGGACTTGCTTCTCCTAATTAAAAATTTCAGGTTAGCATAGGAATCGATGGGCTGGGCGTCACCATGGTGCCACTTGCTTTGTTTTCATGCTCCTCTCTACTGTCCCCACCCCCTCCAGCTGGTTCCCTTTCCTCCCCCAGTGAGTTCCTCTTTTGCTCTCCTACTATTGCTTGTGTTTCTTTGCTGCCTTCATTTTCCACCTCTCCTAAGATCTCCTCTTCCCCTTACCATTCTCTTTCAAGTTTTGTAACCTACACACACACACACACACACACAGACCCCCACACACGCATAAACACAGACACAAATACACAAAAGCACACACACATATACAAACATACATAAACACACACAAAGAATCCTTACACTTCGGTTTAGCTTATGAGAGCAAACATGCTGTTTGTCTTTCTAAGGTTGATTTATTTCACTAAACATAATAATTTCCAGTTGAAAACAAACCTTTAATTTTATTGTTTTGGGGTTTTGCAAGGGAGGTTGTTTTGTCTTGATAAAGACAGGCTCTTCCTGTGTAGCCCAGACTAGGCTCAAATTCGGGATCCTCCAAGTTGCCACCAAGGCCATCTTCCAAAGACACTACTTTGGAATTCAGATTGCTCTGGATGAATAGAACTTTTGAAATATTTGAATAAGAATTTTTATTTCTTAATAATTTATTTTTATTTTATGTGCGTTGGTGTTTTGCCTGCATGTATGTCTGTGTGAGGGTGTCAGATCTTGGAGTTACAGACGGTTGTGAGCTGCTATGTGTGTGCTGGGAATTGAACCCGGGTCCTCTGGATGAGCAGCCAATGCTCTTAACCACTGAGCCATCTCTCCAGCCCTGAATAAAGATTATTTTAATGAGCTTGTATTTAATAAACTTCATTTTATGCATATATTTGTTTTGTTTAGAAAAAGAGTTGGGCTGCCTTGAAGTCCTTATGTTCTTGCCTCAGCCTCTGGAGTACCAGGAATTATAGATGTGCCTAACTACCCCACCAGGCCTATTTTTCAAATCTTTTCTTCAGAATTTTTTTTTAAAAAATCTTTTCAAAATCATTTCTCTATCCCAAATGCAACTGGGAGCATATAGCTTTCTTGTTGTTGTTTAGACTACCGTTTCTCCTAAAATGCAAGACCAAAACTTGCCGGGATTTTTTTT